CGGGGAGGGGGGGAGGAGGGGCGTGGCGCGGCCCGCGTCACGTGGCAGGGCAGCCGCGCGCTCCGCCCCCTGGCGGCGGCGGGCGGGGTCACGTGCTCGCCCCGATTTAAATTTCAATATTTAAAGCTCAATATCGCGCTCCCGAACCAAACCCCCTCCCTTTTTAATTGCTGTAAATGGGGGCGTAAGCGATCCCCGCTAATTACCCGCCCATCAGGGGGTCACGTCGTTGCGGGGCGTGCTGGGGCACACAGGGGCCACAGGAGTTAATTTTTCTAATTAATTCTGGCAGAATTTTCCCCAGAATTGTTCCGACAGCCCCAGGGCAGCCCCCGCGGGGCACAGCTGCCCCCAGACCCTCTGGGCAACGCACTGCTGGGGTTTAACTCAGGTTTTCACATCACGGTGCCCGTTTTTGACCAAACCCCGCAGATTTGACCTAAAGCAGGTGGGGAGGGGAGCTGAGAGCAAACCCAACCCCAAGGAGAGCCCCCCCACACCCCAGTGTCAGCAAAACTTCCAACCTTGGTTTTTCAAATAATCTCCCAACAAGGCTACTACTACAACTATAGCATAGAAACATTTTGAACGTAAACCAAAAACTGCTTCTTGCACAGAAACCGATTTCAAAATAGTTCTACTTTGGGCCTGTATTTTTTAAAAGTAGTATTTTATTATTTGTTTGAAACACCTGAGTCAAGTGCAGCAGAATGGTGAAAAAACAAACAAAAAACCCAACCAAAACCAACCCACTTTGTTACACTTATGCAAAAAAAAAAAAAAAAAAAAAACCCAAACCTAAACTCCAAAATCTAAACTTTCTTTTTAAACTCCAGTCTGTGGCACCATGACCGCAGAGACCCTTCATCCGTTACAGCTGTACAACGACACAGTAATATTTTAAGTCCAGACCAACCTCCGTGAGCTCAGAGCTCCTTGATGTGGCAGCTCCAGGCAGAGTTTTGGGGAACACTGAAATACACCCAAAACAGGACCAAACGAGGCGGGACCCCCCACCTTCCTGGCACCCAAAGGCACCCACAGCTCCCTCTGCTCCACAGGCAGCGTCTCTGGAAAGCACCCCTGTGCTGTAAATAACAGCAAGCAGCAGGAAATAATAAATTCCCCTGTTCTTATTGGGTTTCAATGACGTTTCTAGAATTATGATTTGCCAGTAACAGGTTTGATATGCCCCATCTCAGGAGTCAAACGTACATATTCTGGTGTTTTGTATTACACCTCCCCTACACACACCCACCTCAATTAACAAAACGAGGCTGGCAGATCTTCATTTTGTTAATTGAGCATTGACACCACTGACATCTCAGTGTCTGCTTAAAAGGCAGAGCTTGGATAAATTCAATTTCATAAAGGAAACTGAGCCCATGAGTTGGAGGCATGTTGAACTGTTTCTTTATAAATCAAATCCCTTCGATGGCAATTCCTATTTATTAAGGACTCCTCAAAAAAAAATAAAAATAAATCAATCCATCCATCAATCCACGAGAGACTGAATAATGCAATTTCATTGAGGGCACCCCAAAACCTGTTCCTGACAGACAGATGTTTGATTTAATAAAGGCCTGGACCAGAAGATCAGGTTGTCTCTGCCTCCTCCCGCTCCCCCATCAGTTCTGGTGGTTCCTTCTCCTTGAAATGCGATGCCTTTTTTTCCCCCCAAGGCTGTTTTTCTACCAGACTCCATCAATTGCTTCCCTTCAATTAGCAACAACAGCTTTACTTGAAATTGGAAGGATTAAAATTGAGGCCGTTCAGAGCTACACAGGTCTCATGTAACTGCTTCATAAAAATAATAATTTCTAGTTAGTGGCTGTTTCTTTTTTAAAAAAAAAATAATGATCTCTCGTATCCAACCCAGAGCTTCAGCAGACAGTAATTAAAGAAATACCTTTCCCGTTGAAAAAAGTTTGAATCAAAGCATCCAGTAAGAAATCATCAGGGTGTGATCTGGGGAAAGGTGACCCGGCTCTTGGCAGGCTGGTGGGTTCTGCTCTGTAAAACAAGAATGTGGTGACAAATTAAACAGAAAGGGCAATTAAAAAAAAATCTTGTCTTTGAAATCAAACATTTTTTTAAAGAAAAAAATCTGAGTACAGAGGGAATTATGGCTGGTCTGGGACATGATCAGCAGCGTGAGAGCCCAGTGAAAGCAACAAGCCACCTCTTTGAACTCGGGCACCAACAGCAGACCAGAAGTTAAATTACAGATGATATAGAGAGCCCTTAATTACATTTCCTTCCCCCAGCCCCTGCCCACAGCACCCAGCACACCCAGCCTTTCCTCCTGCCTTTGAGAAGGGACCTGACTTGTCTGCCCACAGACACCCAACCTGAACAGAACCTGGAAGTTTGGTCACTGTCCAACAGTCTCAAACTTCTCTTTTCTTGGCAGAGACAACTTAATGGGGGAAAAGCAAGACAGCTGTGCAGAGCAATGCACTTCTGACAAAACCACCTACACACAAACACCAGCAGCATTTAAAAAAAATGGTCCTAAAGGATAGTAGAACTACCCAAACCTCAATAATCCATAGGGCTTCCACCTCCTCACTTCACTACTACAGCATCGCTTCCAGTTGGATTTGCAGTAAGCATGAACTTAGCAATTAGTGTTTAATAATTTATTAACTTTTTCCCATTAAATGGTACATTCACTCGAGAAGACTTCAACAGTTTTCTGGTAATTTTATTTACAGTCTGCAGAGTGTTCTGTAAAACACAGCAATGGTTACAGACTAGAACGCACAACATACATATTTTCAAACATTTAAATAAGCACAGTTTATTCAAAGGTTATTCTACACACTACTTTTTCCATAAAAATATAAAAAATAGTTTAGTTACTATATTTTTACCTAAACCAAGATATTTAAGAATTCTTCAACATGTGATGCCCCCTCCCCAAAACAGGGCACTCCAACAAGAAGAAATTTAAGAGACTGCATCACAAATTAAAATACTAACGCCAACTGCTTAAATCCACCAACAGAACCAATAACTTCCAATGTGCAACCAGCAACATGTGTTCTGCAGTATGTTTGGATTTCGCTTTTGTTGGGTTTTTCTTTTGTTTGGGTTAGTTTTTCACTAACTTGCCTCTCCCATGCCAGGTTTTCACAGACACGTACACAGTATTACATACAAACAAGGGACTGATTATACTGCAGACTATATGCCAGTCACCATATGCCCAATGAAACGGATTGGGAGTCTTGCATTACACAACAATTTTTTGCAAAAATATCAAAAAGGGAAACGCTTTCCTTTGGGACCTCTAAAGGCGACTTCTTCTCTTACTGAACAACCAGTGAAAATAGCCTTTTTCCTGTCTCCTTGAAAACAGCGCCCATTTTTGCTTGTTACTACCAGTTCTCTGGTGTTACTGACCGTATTCTGTATGGAAAGCTAATGGAGTTCTGAAAAACACCTACTCGAGCCCTTCTCTCACGAGGATACGTTAAATTTACAAAAAAAAGGCACAAAGATGAAACTCCTAAGCAGCATCAGTCATCGTTCTTCCACTGGGCACTGCTCTTTCTTACCCAGAGGCTGCTGCGAGACACACGCGGTGTCTCCGAGGACCCGACAAACACACGAGCTGAGGGAACAGGCGAGTTGAAAAGACTGAAGCCCCTGTACAATGTGAGCACTATTATTGATCATTAACAGATGAACACTATTTAAAGTTTTGTCTTGCAGTTAAGACTCGACCTGGAAGCATCAGAAAAAAAGAGAAAAGCTGAGCAGCGTATAATACATTTGTTATCGGTGAGACAGAAGGCCCTCTGTGTGCAACGCTGTGCTTTCCATTCCCAGGAGGACAGTGCCCTGCAGCCAGCAGGGTGAAACCTCCGCTTCTAATAATTCAGAGGGTTTTCTCAATGCAAGTGAAGCTGTCAGAAAGAGAGTAGGAGCATATGACGCACAGCACGAGCTGCAACAAAACAAAACAGAAAAGCTTTTTTGCTTTCCAGCATGTAAACATCCATGTTACTGGACCTTAGCTCATATAAACAAATCTGATGATAGATATTTTTTTTTTTTTGGAACTAAAAAAGTAAAATTTTCCATAAAAGGATAAACCACAAAAATACTCTTTCAGTAAGTCTCACGTGCCATCGAATACCTTTCATGTCCTATGAACACCTATGCAAAACACTTAGAAAGTTTTAGCAGTAGAAATGTTGACCAGGTAAACTGTTTGGCAACCCTGTGCTCAAACCAAGAGCGTTACCATTTGCTAAACAACAGTCCTGCACCGCACCACGCTATTTCTTCTTCTTTTTCTTTGGTGGCTCATCATCAGAACTACTGTCTGTGCTGCTGCTGCTGCTACTGCTGGAGGAACTAGAATCCGATTCGAAGTCTGAAGAAGAGGAAGTGCTACTGGAGGATGGAGAAGAGGAGGAAGTGGAGGAGCTCTCATCACTGTCACTGTCCTCAGAAGAAGAGGAGGTAGAAGAGTCTTCACTGTCAGATGAGGAATCGCTGGCCGAGCTGGCGCTGCTGCTGCTGCTGGAACTGGTCACGCTTTTAGATCTGAAAGAAACCAAACAGATGAGAACAGGCCTGCTGGAGACAGCACTCATCACACACCGCTCTCCATACTGTGCTGTATCCAAAGACCAATTATTTGGTCTGAAAATGGCCAGGCCTGACAATCTAAGAGAACCCCACACCCCTCCAACTCCGAACAAATGGAGTTTGGCCATTGGAGCAGCAGCAGAGCGACACCACGTACTGAGGGAAGCCAGAAGGGGACTAGAGGAAAAAGGTTAATTTTGAAAGCTGGCAAGGATCTTGTTCACAGTAGCAACAAGTGTCTTTGCTGACTTGGCTAAATAGAAGATCAAGGCTGCAGAAGAACATCCTGCACTACTAAACCCTTGGGGAAAAACTCTCAAAGACCCATTCCCCAGCACACCACTGTAACAAGGAGTGAAATTTTGGCAATGTAAAAGTCAGTGGAAGTTTCATCAGTGATTTTACAAATGTCAGAATTGTACTCAACGGAAATTGTTCTTAGATTACTCCTGGCAAAAGAACCCAAATTACCTGCCACTACAGGATGCTTATGCTTTCAGGGTGGAGGAGAAGGGGTGGAAACAGTCCAAGATAAAGACAAAATTACAAACATAGCAAAGTGGATTTCTCTATCCTCTGCCATTTTTCCCATGTTTAGCCCTTACTGAGGCTCCTGCTCTCAAGATCAAGATCTCTGATTAAGTCAGGCAATATGAATTCCAGGGAAGCACTATTAAGTTCTACCATAGATCTTTCTCCAAACAAAGTGTAAAGGTAAATGTCAAGTGTAAAGGAGTGTAAATTCACCTCCCTTCCCACCAAGGCAACCAAGCAGCATGCAAAAGTGCTAGATATAACACAGAATCTTCTTTCCATTAGAAAATTAACGTAGTAGTTTTTATCAGAGAGTTTGGGTAAATATAACAACTCAAGAAATGCTTATGTTAAGGCTATTAGAGAAAGATTAATGTTTTTTCATCCTATCAGCCGTGGTCACATCAGCTGACAAATCTGGATGCAAGTGTTAAGCTACAAACCACTGAAGTTTTCATAATCTATCTGTAATCTGTTATCTCTGTGCATGCAGAGACAATGGCTGTTTGTTAAAGATAAATCCGTAAGGGCTGAGAAAAGAGACTTATTGTTTGTGAAAAACTAGTCTTAAAATGAGGAAAACAAAAAAAATACGTGGGACTAGTAGTTTAAACCTAAACAGTTTCATTAGATGTGCAGAGCCATTTATAGGGACAACAATCAGTCAGAGGATCGTCTGAATGATAACTTTGAACCCTCTTTTCCTAATCACTTTTCACAGAATCCACAGAAGCAAGTCCATGGACCTCCAATCCTTAGGTTATAATCTGAAATCCACTCACAAACATCAGGATCTAACACTCAATACCTCCTCTCCTCGAGTAAAGCACTAGCGAGATCTACGAGAGAAGAAACAAGCAGATACTTGTCTTTGGGTGATGCAAGACGTGGCCTGTTGGTAGTTACAGAAGGAGGATGGAGATGGGAGCAAGTAAAATTCACCTACTCTGCCTTGTCCTAATTAGGTAATAAGATGATCCCAATGCTACACATTGGTAGATCTAAGATTTTTGGGTCTACTCCATCACTGTAAAAATACAGAATTTCTCCAGACGATAAGTCTTCATTCTCCTCAAAACAAGTTTTAAGTGTTAGTATCTCATATGATCTCTAGGCACCAACTGCTGTGTTTTGTACATTATCACCCTTCTCTGAACCTTTTCGTCCTTCCTAATTCTATTACAATCCTCTGACAACCCCAGGTGATTTCTAACACGCTACTTAAATCGAATCTGCAATTTCGGGCACAATCGCAGCTGGAAGCCTGAAGAAACAAGTTAATTAAGGCATGGTTCTACCCTTTGGACAGGCAGATGTATCTGTGATCCCAGCACAAAACGGGCTCTCAGTTAATACCCAGCGGCCGCCGCCTGGGAAGGCGGGAGCCAACGCGCACCCAGAAGACAGCTCGGTGTCACCTGAGGTCACAACATTGGACAAAGCTGCTTTGCCTGTTCCTGTTTTTCTGGTTCAGCCTGTAGCTTACTTATTACTGTTTATATCAAAACAAACATACACTATGCAAAAGGTTAGTGCTCACAACTGCCAGAACCTTAACTTTTGCCTGTTGTTTTTTTTTAATCTGGAACTTGTATATTCAACAGTAACCCTTTGCTGAATTTTCCGCATTTGATTCTTCCTATATCATAATAAAAATATAAATAGCAAACTAACTAGGAAGGAATTTATATTGATGCTTGATATCTGCTTGCATAAGAGCAGGAGGGAAGGAATTTATATTTATGCTTGATATCTGCTTGCATAAGAGCAGGATAACAATTCAAACATAGAAGAGTTTTAAAATTTTAAAGAAAAATTGACCAAACCACCAGCCTCCCCCCAAAAACAATCCTTTCACTCTTCATTTTGCATTGATTTAGAGCTTGAATATTCTGAAAATCATTGTGCCAAGTAGAAGACTGCAGCACATGAGAAAGCTGAGGCAGGAAGAAGTCTGAACTAAGTTGTTTAGAAATCAGTTAATTTGTGATCTCTTTAGTCCTAAGTAACTCCAAAAATAAATAGGCACTACTGAGAAAGGAGCCTTTGATAAAACATCTCCTGATAGTGGAACTAAGAATCTCACCAAGATGCATTCCAGTAAAGCCACATTCCACATGATAGCCTAAAATAAAGGCATGGCTTAAAAAACTGCTGTGGCTTACTGAATGACACAAAGAACAAGGCCTAGGCTTTAAAAAAAAAAAATCTCACGAAAACCGTTTTTAGAAGATCAGAGACAGAGAACAGTCAACTAAATGGGAAGAGATAACAAGGCTACTCCTGCCCAGCATCCCCCGTCAGCAGACTCAGCAGGAGTGTCACAGCTGGGGTTCTGTCTGCTCCCCAAAGGGTTCTGCCAATAAGGACCAAAGTGAATTCCCAAGGAAAACATTACTGCAAAGGAAAGTACAAATAGTGTCAACAGAGAAAGCCTTCTTGGCTTGAATTAGTACTGGGAAGGGAGGTTTATTTCCTGGATTTTGTTTCCGTCTTGGATTGTTTGGTTTTGAGGTTGGGTTTGGTTGTCATTTTTTTTAGATGTTTTATTTCATCCTCTAGACAAGGCTTCAGAGAGAGACAACTGCTACCAGAAGGGAATGAAAACACCAGACGGAAGAGCAAGACAGGTAGGTGGAGTGATTACAAGCTAGAAACAGTATGTTGTTCTCACACAACTGTTTAAAATACACTTGATGAACTCTGAGGCAGAAACAGGAAGATTTTTATTATTAAAGCAAGATCATGTAGAGATAGGACAATCAGTAGGGAGAAATGCAGAGGATAAAGAATTTAGAGGTTTTGGACAGGGAAGAGTAGAAATCCTCCAAATGTCTGTCACACAAATGCCTGGAAAAGGCTAGAAGCAGTAAAATCAAAGCTGTATTTGCAATGTTGACTTTGCCCACACACCCCTCCCAAGCCACCTGCCGCAATCCCCAGTGCCAGATCACACACTGGAACAGCTGCACTGTTTGTCAGCAGTCCCCACATACCTTTTCTTCTTGGCCTTCCTTTCTGCAGCACTGTCTCCAGCACTAATTAGAGAGGGGGAAAAAACAATGGCTTTGATTAATGCAGTAAGAAAATTAAATAAACAGCAGCAGAGTGGAACTGAGTTTACTATTAGAAAACTGGTATCTCACGGGCAGAGACTGCACCACCCCAAGCTCATTGGGCACCTAGTTTCAGTCACTAATCAAACAAGAAAACCAACAATACTTACAAATCAGGAAAGAAAAAAAAAAAGCAGCAATTCACCTCTGATTTTCAGTGTTAAGTATGCTTTACTCTTTTCTTCATATTATGCAAACTATCATTTTGGGATGGGAAAGGCATAGGAGAAAAGGATACAAAACCAGAGAAGGGTAGAAAGAAAGCATTCAGTGTAAACTATACTGCATTTCAATAAAATTACTCAAGGCCATTTGTGTGCCAAAAGAGATTTTTTCCATTTATTTTCACAGATACAGTGTGAATATGAAAATACTATAATTAACACAGATGAGATTTCCTCTTGCCCACACTCTCCTGTCATATTGTCGTCTTCAATTTCAAGATTACTTGATCTTCAAATTCTGAACCAAATTATAAACCCTCCCATACTGCTGAATATTTAGATTGAGGCCTTACACAGAAGACAGGTAAGTAACCAGGCTGCCGAGGCACAGGTCTGTGCTTCCCTCTAGTGTTTCCCCTCTGGATGAGGGTAGGAGTTCACAACTCTGGGAACCACACACCCGAGAGGGGTCAGTCCCCTGCAGATCACACAGTTCTCATTCCTGACACTTGGTCATCTTCCCTGGGGCACCACACCATCTTCAGAACCAGAAATAAGACTCAGGCTTCCTGGGTTGGTTCAATACAGTAACATTACTAAGTTACTGAAGAAGCATTTTCTCCCCTCCCCACTCCAGGACAGGCAAGCAGTGGGCTTTACTTTGAAGAAGCATTTTCTCCCCTTTCCTCCCCTCCCCACTCCTACTCCAGGACAGGCAAGCAGTGGGCTTTACTGGAACCAGTAAGCAAAACCTCCATAACGTCCATCAGAATCATGGGGTCAACACTGGGCAAACAGAAGGATCCTGGAAAAACTGCTGAAATGAGTTAATGCTGAAAAATCTTGTATGTGGTTGTCAAAAAGTAAATATTAACCTGATTAGAGTATGTTTGCTTTCTGGTTAATTATTCATTATCAGGCCTTTAACAATGGCGATAGAAATATTCTGAAGCAGACCTGTAGGAGACCCAACTTCTCTGCAGACAAGAAACAACCTTCCAAAGCAAGCTATGCAAAAAGGAAAAGTGTGTCCTAGAAAGTTGTTCTTTCTATGAAAAGTAAGCTTCATCCCTGAAAGTGTAACTGGGTGCCTCATGGCACAGTTAAGGAGCTTCAGAGAGCTTATGATCATATAACCAGTATGAATCCAGCCCAATTTAACCAGGATTAAAATCTGTTCCCCATCCAAGGATTAGTCAGCCTTCCTTTCATGAGGTGACTTTTCACACCACACACTCCTCACACTGTGGACTTACAGCTCAAAAGCCTCCATCCATGACAGGCACTGCACAAGCCCTGTAACCCCTAAATACCATTATCCCATACACAGACTCAAGGACAACAGCTTAGCAACAAACAATTTCACCCTCAATTCCCTATCCTCTAATGTTAATCTGCAGAAATAGGGCAGGAAAAGACCAAGGAAATAATCTGAGTCTTGAACTAAATCTTTACCTACACTCTCTGAAGAACTCTTCCAAACTTTGTCTCCAAAGGGAACAAGTTTTAGAGCCTAAGTACTCCTGATTTCTTATCAACAATACCTGAGATTACAATTCCTTCAGAATTACTCACTGCATCAAAATTAATTTCAAAATCAAACATTTCACATCACTCAAGCTCACGGGCTTCCACTCAAGTCAGTGTTTCAGCCCTGATTCACAGCGCAGCCTCAGCTGAAACGGCTGATGATGGCAAATCAGAGCTCTCTGCCAGGGGTTTCCACCCATTTTCTTTCCACATTAAGAGAACAGAGGGAAAGGTGTGAACGCTCCTCCAGAACTCACATCCTGGCAGCACTAACAGCCTACAGAACACACACAGCAGCACGGAATTCAGGACACAGTACTCCATAACAAAAAAGGCTCCAACTGTTTTGACTTCAGCTTAGTGCAGTTTTTTCTTTCAGACAGGCCAAAAAAGTTTTAAGTGTGTTTCAGGCAAGCAGGTGTTAATGAAGAATATTTTAATTTTGTGGGACATGAATGTAAATGTTCCACTAACATACAAAATGGCTCTAATATTAAGCAAGCATCACACAGTCTGGAAGAGAGGACAGAAAATGGTCTAGGACACCACCTTCCCACCCACATACAAATCATCTTTTATTTTAAAAAAACTAGACATTTTCATTCTTTCAGTCTTACCTTTGTTGCAATAACAGTCTCTTTTCCTTTTCTTTAAGAATTTTCGCTAATTGAGCTGTCCTTGAAGGTCTGTGCAGGTATTTCCTCTTCCCTGTACATTCATATGTCCAATGTCCAAACTCTAAACATTTTTGACATCTTACATGCTGCTTGTTTGCCTCCCTAGAAAAATGCAGAATTGCTTAAGTGACTGATTCCAAGTCTGTTCTACCAATGGAAAAAACAATTTTTTTGGTCATACAGATTCTGAAGAGTGTAGGTAGCTACGATTACACCAGACATTCAGGGGTACTTCAGCTGTTATACATCTTACATCAGGACAAGAACAGTAACATCACACACATACAGAATTTAGGCAAACACATTTTCTGAAATTAAAATATTCTCATAACTACTTATGAAAGAAAACAAAGAAAGACTTTTCCTCTATTCCAAAGCTTCAGTTTAAGTCATCTTCTGCTAAAGCAGGAAATGCTGAACTACTGCCATCAACTGTCACCACACTCATCAGCTGCATCCGAATTTCACTTTGAGTTTTACAGTGGCTGCTGGTGAGCCTACCTCGTAGATCCTTGTGGAATCCTCAGACCCCCTTTAGATACTGTAAATAATTGAAACATTTCGAAAAATGCTACTAGGACCATTCTCTGTCAGTGCACAAAGATTAATCCGATCACCAAAATCACATTTTCATCAACCTAATTGGCACAGCTTCTAGCATTATAGGATATAATTGTACAACAGTCACTGGGAATGATTACACTGTATACAATTTGAAACTATCCAATAATTGCACATGGTTCTAGCTTGCTTCAGATAAATAATTATGTTTAGAACACTGGTAGTAGAAAGCAGACAGCTTCATTTCCAAATGCAAGAATTTAATGCTACCAAATGCTCACAGAGCGCCCAGGACTGAGAAGTAAAACAGAGATGCTTATTTGCATTTTCGTAAGATTCATTAAAGCCTGGCAGAAGGGTTTCTCATAAGACCAATGAGACACTTGCTAACTTTGTGCAATGTAAATCAAGCAAGATTTCACTTACTCCTCTGTATCAGCCAAACACCTGCAGCATTTAGTGAGCATTTTACATCCACATTTCAGTTTTCACACTGTAGTAAAACCCTTTTATTAGTTTTAGAAGGTAGTTAAGGGAGAAAAGGCACATTTTCCTATTCTAGCTCTTACTCCACCATCCTGAAGCTTTGCAAAAGCTGTTTTGCTGTCTTCTCACAGACACCCTCCTCCTTTACAAATAAGGAAACTCGTACAGCAGCCAAGCAACTCGGTCAAGGTCAGAATCACAAGTTAGTTTTAGAGCCAGGACTGACACCAGGGGTTTGTAGCTCCCGTACAGTTTCACTGCAACAACTGTAACTTAATTCCACCTTCTATCATTTTTTCCAGTCACCAAACTACTAATTTTCTGAGGCCAACCCATCTAAACTACCTGAAATTAACAGCCCTGTTCTAACTAGGAGGAGGGTCCTGGACTCATCATTTAGCATTCAGAGAGCAGGAAGTGACAGACCACCAGCAAGTGCTTTTCTCTCAAAAGGAGCGTTGCTTCCAAGGGAAGGTGTGAATCTCTTCTCTCTCAACTCTCCCCTCTCAACCATCCCCTTCTGTCACAGTTCTACTGTAGCTTGAAGGGAATCTTGTTCTGAACACCCATCACTCTTCCAATGCAAAGAGCACTCGGCTTCATAATCTGGCCTTAGAAATATTAACCTAAATTAGCACTAGAAAACTAATTAAACTTGCAACCTAAGCTGCACAATTAACTCAGACTTTAACAGCAAGCAGTACATCTAATAATTTAAAAAAAAAAAACCCAAAACCCAAACCAAAATCTTTGAATGAGAGCACTTGGCTTCATAATCTGGCCTTAGAAATATTAACCTAAATTAGCACTAGAAAACTAATTAAACTTGCAACCTAAGCTGCACAATTAACTCAGACTTTAACAGCAAGCAGTACATCTAATAATTTAAAAAAAAAAAACCCAAAACCCAAACCAAAATCTTTGAATGGTTTGCATTGTCTCGCCTTGGACTTCTGGCTCTGGCACAAGTTACACATTAGCAGAATGAGAAAACTTCCTCCTCTTCATCAACAGACAAAACCAGAGAAGTGGATGTTTTTGTAATTCAAACTACCCCAGACCTGTCTCCACAGGAACAGAATGGGAGTTTAAAGCCATAATAAAATAACTCAGTAGTTCCAGGGTTTTAGTACAACTCACATGACCAGGGCAGACAATTCTATGCAAACTAAAATGATAAGATCAGGCCCTAAAAGCAATATTCCAGGAAACCAGACCGAAATAGCTCAACAACAACTACAGATCTATAAATACCACACCAGCACTAACAAGTTTTAACACTAATGAAAAGCACGAGACTGAAGTAAAATTTTAACAGGGAGCAATGGCCACAACCTAGAAGCAAAGGCTGGCAGACGAACAATTCAGCAAGTACCCACCAGGCACATTGAGACATAACAAAAAACATTAAAAAAATCAGTCCTTGACTCATAATAAAATAGCAACTTAAAGAACAAGTATTCCGTGAGTACTTTGAAATCCCAAGTTACTTCTCATTGGAAAATAGGAAAGAAATTATATGGAAAAATAGGAAGGAGAATACAGAAGCCATCCATATTCTGTCCACGTCTCATGATCAGACAAAAAAAATGAAACACACACCAAAAACTGAAATGCAAACTGAGATTATTCTAAAGAAGGAAAAACAAACAAACAAAACCCAAACAAACCAACCAACCAACAAAAAGGCAACACAAGTTATACATTAGAGTGGAACACAAGTATTTGCGGTACTTAACATAAACAAGCAAAAGTGTTGGATTTTCCTGGAAGGAGAATACAGAAGCCATCCATATTCTGTCCAACTCTCATGATCAGACAAAAAAAATGAAACACACACCAAAAACTGAAAAAAAAGGAAGGAGAATACAGAAGTCATCCATATACTGTCCAACTCTCATGATGAGACAAAAAAATGAAACACACACCAAAAACTGAAATGCAAACTGAGATTATTCTAAAGAAGGAAAAACAAACAAACAAAACCCAAACAAACCAACCAAAAAAAAAAAAAGCCAGCGCAAGTAATACATTGGAGTGGAACACAGGTATTTGCCGTACTTAATATAAACAAGCAAAAGTGTTGGATTTTCCTCACCAACAAAAAGGCAACACAAGTTATACATTAGAGTGGAACACAAGTATTTGCGGTACTTAACATAAACAAGCAAAAGTGTTGGATTTTCCTCATTTCAGTGTTTGTCAATCAGATCCTTTCCGTATTGAGAGAACTACTTATGAGCACAAGAGTCATATCAGAATAAAGGTCGCCTGTTTGGATTTTTTTCCTCCTTCTTTTACAGCTCTGTAAATAGATCATGACATGAACCTCGAACTTATTTTTTAAGTCTGTTTGAAGTCCACAACGAAGGCCGGTAACTGCCAGCATCACAAGATCTTACACACTTCACCGAAAACTCTGGCACACCAACACCTCTAAGGCAGCCTTCTCCCCAAAGGCTGCTCACCACTGTTAACGCCAAAAGTGAAACTTTGAAGACTTCCGGATTTTTTTCCTCCTTCTTTTACAGCTCTGTAAATAGATCATGACATGAACCTCGAACTTATTTTTTAAGTCTGTTTGAAGTCCACAATGAAGACCGGTAACTGCCAGCATCACAGGATCTTACACACTTCACCGAAAACTCTGGCACACCAACACCTCTAAGGCAGCCTTCTCCCCACAGGCTGCTCACCATTGCTAACGCCAAAAGTGAAACTTTGAAGACTTCCTCTACTTTTCCACAATCCCGCTTTCACTCTTTTTATTTCACAGCAGCGACGTCACTAAGCGGGCCGTATTTTGGGCAGTTTCCACACAGAGGAGCAGCACCCTGCCCGGGATGCGGGGCACCTGCGAGGAGGGGCCTCTGTGCCCTCAGAGACCCCCCGGCCCCGCTCGCGGGGGACGCCCCTCTCCCTACCCCGGCCCCGCTCCCCCGGGGCCCGCAGCCGCCCCTCTGCCGCCCCCTCCCCGCCAGCCGCCGCCTCAGCGCGCTGCCTGGCGAGCCTCCCCTCGCTTCGGTTCGCCTACTAGACCCCCCCTGCCCGCAGGGCCGCCCACCACACTCACGCCTGTCTCCGAGCGATAAGGCGGTGCATGGGAGTCGCCATCTTAGCGGCCCGGCCGGGAAGTGAGGCGGGGGCCGCGGTGCATGCCGGGCCATGCCGCCCGCCGCCGCCTCCTATTGGGGGAACGGGCGGCCACCACAGAGACTAAATCCTCCTGCAGCCAGAGAGGACGCGCCGGGAGGGACGCGCTTTCCGGCTCGTTTCGTCGCCTCCCGCGTTGCCATGGCACCGTGCCGTGAGGGTCTGTCATGGCTCCGGGCCGAGCGACCCGCGGTTCCCGTTCCCGTCCCTGTCGTCTCAGCCCTGCGCTTTCCGCCTCGTCCAGTCAGCGATCCGCCAGCCCCGCGGCGCTCGGTCGCCATGGCGTAGCGCCTGGTGTCTCCTCAGGGCGCTGGGCCCGGTCGGCCGCCTCAGCCTCCCCCGCCGGGCCCGGTCGGCCGCCTCAGCCGCTCCGCCGTCAGCCGCCGGCTCCCGCCCTGTCAGCGGCTGACCGCTGCTTCTCTCTCAGTCAAAGTCTGACAAGAACCTGCCTCTCACTTAAAAACTTTTAATTTTTCTTAGAAGGAGTGTGTTTTAAATTCCCGAACCCAGCAGCGGAACGGACTGTAACTGAGACAACCCATCTCTGACTGTGTGTTGACTGTCGAAGGCTTTCCGGCTGATGTCGGCCGGCAGAAGGGAGCACAGGAGGTGAGGAAGAGGGGGGTTATTGATCCAGGTCTCTTCTGCCACAGGGCACCCCCTCTGAGCTGCCTCAGCCAGGCCTGGCCGCAGGGTGGCTTTGGGATAGTTTCAGCTTCATTAGTCCACATGACTAATTCGGTGGAGCTGCAGGGAGCCTGCTCCAGCTTCTGGAGAGCTTCCAGCTCTGTGACATGTCGGAAAGCATAACAGCTCTCTGGTCCTAACGTGAAGGCTCCAAAAAGATGCTAGAAAGTGCTAAACTTCAGAACGGAATAATTTAACTCATTAGCACTCCTAAAAGGTTTCTAACATGTTAATTTTTAGCAGGTCAGATTTTTATACCCCACACTGACAGAAAAAGAAATCTCAATAAAATTGGGAACATTATTCTGCTCCTGGTAGGGGTGCATAACCATGGCTCAATAATCCATTAAACATGACTCCCATAGCCAGAGAATACTGATAAGTCATGTTCGTGTGGACTCAGCGTGTTCTAGACTTGATTTTAAGGAAATATAGTTCAAATACATCTAGGAATTGTACGGCAAATTCTTTCTTTCACTCCATTCAGCCCAAGAGACTGTAGTCTCCCAGCTACGCCAGCAGCAGCTAGTATTTTTGGCTCCTACGTCATCTCCTTGCAGTCGCTGGCATGGGAGGAGAGGTCTCGGGACAGAAGAGGAGCAGTGGCTGGAGCTTTCTGACGGCACATACCTGGCAGGCAGCCCCTTGGGAGTCTTTGCCAGCTGGCACAAGTAGAGCAGCCAATATCCTGAGTTCAGGGAAGCAAGGAATGTGGCTTCGTATCTTGGCTTTGTCAAAACCCATTGTTATCCCATGGGGTCAGTTTTTAAATGATTTCTTAAATTTCGTGACAAAAATCCTAAAGAAAACATTTTTTTTTATTATTTCTGAATTGCAATTACTCCTGCTGTTAGTGTCCTGGAAGTACTTTATATCCAACCATTTTCAGTATTAATTCAGAACTATCCTGTCACAGAGACAATTGATAGGCAATAAATGGGCATTCCACTGCACATTGACATTTAGTGAAACAGATGAACTGTTCCCGATTTGTAACAGCTTAGTATCAGCTCTGTAACTCCTTCCAAGTCAGTGGTATTCCTTTGTTATTGAAAATAAAAATACATGTTGTATTTTCTTAAGTTCAGCAGAATCCAGCTGTACCAGTCGGATCATTAGTGTGTGAGGAGCTGTAGAAATAGGCTAAAAGGCAGCTCTTGCTGAGAAAAGCTCACACTTAGCTCAAAATAAGGTACAAGGTGGGCACATGGTACAACAGAATGTGTGCGGAGAAAAAATAGGAATGTAACAGTAGTGAGAACAGATGGTGACACGAGTTCATGTTTTAAGCAATTCATAGAGGTATAAAAATAAAATATATGTCACATATAACACAGCAATAAAAATCTGATGCTTTCAGGCGATGAGCATCCCAGGTCTGGAATTGGCAGATGTGTGCCATAGAGGTGTTTCACCTCGAGTGGCACGTGATCAAGTCACAGCCAGGGGATACCAGAGCCAGGACTTCCTGCTGCATGTCCCATAGGATTTATAATAATAGGGATGGTAACAACATCTGCTGGGTACAATGGCACCAATTAAATATCACACTGGGAAGGTGAGATACTGAGGGATTCTCTTGGACATAAACAGCTCCAACTCATCAGGACTCATTACCGTGTGACTAATTGTTGAATACTCTGGTAGTTCCTCTCTCCAGACTCTGTGATTGTGTGGCTGATGCCTGTTCTGTGTGCGTCGTGTTTTCTTCTATATCTGGCACTTCTTGTGGTATCTAATCGTTGTCCTGGTTTGGATGATGTTCCGCGATAACCTGTGGTTAATCATATCTGGCACCTTGTTAATTCTGATGTGTGGTGCCTGGTTCGTTAGAGATGCAGCAAAGTTTGGCCTCAGTATTTGAATTTTGATGTGTGGCATCATCTCCATTTTAATGGAGAAAGTCAGACAGAAGTATTTCCTATTTTAGGATTAGAAATTTTCTTAGCTAAAACCAGCTATTTATAATAATCCATGCTTTATAATAAATTCATGTCTGCTGATCCCTTTTTTACCTCAGTATCACTTAAAATCTTGGAGTAGGTCACATACCCATAGCAGTATCTGCACTCTGCTCACTGACTTCTGGTGCTGCTAGCACCTCTGCAACTCTCCTCATGTCAGTGCAGCAGGACGACGGCTCCCTAAATTTGCCAGTTTAGTGAGATTTCTGGTAACCACGTGCCAAATTACTCCATGGGGAGTTTTCCTTACACAGAGGCTTTAAAAACGTAACTTTTATTGGAACAATCCGCTTGAAATCTTTCTACCTGAGGAGTTTGAAAGTGCTGTTGTGAGTTTGAAGCCCACAGGTTCCTCCAGCCCGAAATCCCTGTGCAGAGTCATTGCACAGCAGGGGGACACGGTTCCAGGAGCTGCTGCTGCTCAATGAACTGCCTGTGCCCATAAATCCTGCCTTTGCACATTCAGTCGCTATTTAAAGTTGCGGTGTCATTAACCTATTTCTAAATATGCGGGGCAGGGAAATTACTTTCCAAAATGTTCTCCTCTCTGGGCAGGAAGGGGAGGAGGTACGTGGGCAAGACAAGAGGGAAAAATGGGGGAAGTAGGGAAGGTTTGGTGTCACCAACACCAAGATTCCTTTTCTTAGCTCCTTCCAGACCTCTCCCACTGTGCTTCCACCCCCCAGCATTTTTCTGTGCTTACAAAATGAAGGTGTCATGCTGTTTGTTAAGGGTTTGTATGTGAAAATGGATAAACATTGTCAGAGCTTTCTTTCCAGGCCTTAGGAAGAACTGAGCCCGTGAATAAATGGTTAAATCTTCATTGCCAAGACTGCGGGCTACTGGTGCCAGTTACCCAAAACTCTGATCATCCTCCAAAATGACAAGGAATTAAGTAGCTGACAGTGGTAATGCTGGACAGTAATAATGATAAACTGGGAGCACTAGAGGCAGGGTCACCTGGCATGATTTAAATGTGCCTTTTACTTTTTTCCCCCTAGCATTCTTGCAGAACATATCCAAAGAGAAATCATTCATATCATGTATTCTGTACTGAAAAAATTACAAATTAAATCACAATTCAAATTGGACATAGAAATGATTATAATAATTACAAAAAAAAAAAAGGCAACCAAAGCAAACAACCCACACTGGCTACTGAATTCCTGTGTGCAGAGCTGTCAGTGTTCTCAACATCAGAAAAAACTAAAAGTGAGAGACAGAAACAAAGAAGATCCTTATTCAGGCAAAAATGTAGGCTGAAAAAAAGGTATCTCAGTGATAAGGAATATCATCAGGAGGTTTGAATCACTCCCTGCCTGGGATTTCCTGTCTCCACCCAGTCCTACCCTCGGGAACTGCAAGTTTCCACACGGCAGTTCATTGTTAGAGCTGGCCCGGTGGCTTTGCTGCTCTGCCAAGGAAGCTCTAGGTTATTTCAAACCATTTCTTGGTTTGGTATTTCATTTCAAACCATTTCTTGGCTCAGGTATTTCAAAACTATGGCCACAGTCACAATGTGGACGCAACCTGAGGTACTGGAGAGTCTCTTGTTCCATTTTCTGCGTTGCCTATGAAATAAAATGTCATAAAGAAATGAAGCGATCTTACCAAAACAGGTTTTATTTCTCTAATTAAATCTTTTCCCGATGTGATTCTTTTGCCAGGGCATCTGGAGTTTGAATTTCCAGATTATAACCGAATTCTTCCCAGGACCAATGGCCCACCTGTAACTGCTGGTCCAGACCGAAACCCAAGAGCTGGGCAGGGTGCCCGGGCAGCGGAGCTTTACAGCAGGACCCGACAGAAGGTGGTTTATCAGAAAGTCTGGATTGGTGCTGGGCTGCTGTGCATTTCAGCTGGGTCTGAATCCACCCCGGGTTACTGAAGAAAATAGTTAAAATATGCAAAGGAGGGTTTTCTCAAAGCTTTTCTGCCTTTTCCAAACACCGTCTGGCCTTATGGAAGATACTGTCTCTACCTACAGAGACTTTCTTAAAAAAACACCCAACCTACAATGAAGAAAATCCCAATGTTTCTCTTCATCACAAGAACAAAACCAGAAGAGCCAAGTGAAAGAGCAGTCACTGCAGAGAACACTGAGCACAAACATGGTACCTGCTGTCTCTGACAAGGGATATAAAGAGCAAAGCTCCTATTTCGGATGGAGCGTTGTCTGAACGCTGCATTTATCTCATGGTTTCTCGTGTTGTGCCGTCTGGTGGATTGCAGTGAACTGGCCTCATCACAGCACGTGTCAGCACATCAGGGTAAGGAACCCCAGGTGAGATCCCATCTGTCCTGATATTGCAGATGGCTTGCTGGTGAGAAGCTGAAATATGGGAATCTCTTCCTAGGCATAAAGTAAAGCAAAATTCAAAGTCTCTCAGTTACATTTCTCTGCCTTATAACTTCCCAAACAAGATAGGTTCCTTCATTCCCTCTTCTGTGTTTTCCTTGCAGTACAAATTGCTGAGTGTATTATGGGATTATATTAGCATGCAAGATAGGTTCCTCCATTCCCTCTTCTGTGTTTTCCTTGCAGTGCTGAGTGTATTATGGGATTATATTAGCATGGTGAAAAGGGTCTCCTCTTCCAGCAGTCACAAAAAAGATTTTTTTCAACTACTTAAGAGGTAATGCAAGAGAAAAATACTCATGATATATTAGTGAAAATTAGTGCCAGTAGGGATGTAGCTCTGTTCCAGTAAAATCCACGCAGCTACTCAATATTTGTATTGGTAACTAACAGCAGACCCTGGCTCTGTGTATTAAAATTCCTGGCTTGCACAATATCAGACTCCTTTGGTATCCACCATATAAACAGACAATTAGAGGATGGTACAGAAAGCTGAAAGAAAAAAGGTAAAAATACTGGTTAACATGCACTCTAAGGAAGCTTTTTGAGCCTTAAATCAGATTAGTCTTCATTAGGTCAGCAGTTATAAAAATAGATTGAAAGGGATAACGCACCCCAAACCTATATGGATGCCCAGCCACAGTTCCCATTGAAATAAGAAGTAAAAAAAAGGCTTCATTATTAGAATGTATGTAAATGAACTTAATTGATGATCTGTGAGGTGATGAACACCCCTTTTGTAGGGGGTTAGCCCTGGTGTGGCGTTGCTATGGGACCCTGGTGTTATTCTGCCTGTAGCGGCGGGTGCCTGCCGGGTGACTGCTCCCGCTCCAGCCTAGAAAACTCTGCCCTATTTTTAGCTCCCCAGCTCCCATTTCAGCCAACGCCAAGTATCTCTGTGTGTCAACACATCCCCAATGTCTCCCGGTGGAGCGTCAAGCACGTCCACGTAGCAGGGACGTCACTTCTGTGTGCGGTTTGTGGAAGCTTACATCACTAAATGTGTCACTGGAATCTGTTAAATCTGTTTAGAACAAATTCAGATGTTTTCCCTGCCTGGGCAGATAGCCAGCAGACTGTAGTGTACAAAGGAGCCTCAACGGCAGGCAGAGGGACTCAAGGCTGTCAGCTGGGCACGGAATGGGACCAGAGGGGACAGCTGTCACCCGCACCAAATGTGTGGGCACCTCACACAAGCTACTGGAACTTTTAGGAGGTTTGTGGATAGTCTGGATGGAGAAATTAGGGTTTGAGGTCCCATCGGGCGCCCAGCCACAGCCCTTCACCCTGCCAAGATGGGCTCATGGGGCTGGACTCCTGGATCTGTCACCAGGTGCCATGGGGAAGGGCATGACAAGGAGTGAGGGTAGCCCCAATCCTCAGTCTGTTAGGATTCGCGTGCTTTGGGACTGCAGAGTTCAAAGTTACCCACTGGGTATTGCTGCCACCACCGTTATCACGGGAATTATTTCACAGAATCCTATCCCTACACTCACACTGATTCACCTTTAAAGCTCTTTTCTTCCTCCCGGCTCTCTTTAACAGGCTTTTCAGAGCTTGATCTCTCCAATTGCTCCAGCATCCCCCTGATTTCTGAGTTAATTTATTGGTGATCAGTTTACCCATTTGTTATTGTCAGCTGTTCTTTAGTTTAAGTACTTATTCCCACCCATTCTTCTTTACCATATCCATTGTTTCATATTTTGAAATGATACGACACCATCCTTACTTTATGAATATGTTAAAAATCCTATCTGCTGGACTTGCTGCTCAGTTCAGTGCCTCTGGAATTTGATGGAGAGGCTGACCCCAAAGATTACAACCTGTCCAAATAAAGCCTCTCATGTTTTGCTGCCATGTTTCACCAACCGACATGCTGAGAAGGATCTTACATGTTTCAAATCTGCTCATGAGGGCAGGCTGCCCCGAGGCACTCATTTCCAGTCTTGGGAAGTATATGCAAAACTATGAACTAGCCTTAATTATACAATTAGGATGTATGCGTAATACACAACGTCCAGCAGCAAATAATTGTTTTGGGAAATGTTTACGTATTCTTTAGACTTCCACGTTTGTTGCTGTAGTGCCCATCACTTCCCAATATTGTTTTTCTTGTGCCTGTTTTTCCTCCTTTTTTTCTATTTGCTTTTTTTAATGTTTCTTTGGGAAATTTTGAGTTGGTCAGTTTGGGTTTTGCTTGGTGGGCAATAATCCAGCTCAGACACTTCAGGAGCTGGGATGGCTTAATTTGTAAACAGGTGAAATCTAATTATCTTTCAAGTTTGATGGAAGACTGTGGAAACCAGAACACAGAATCACAGAATCCCAGAATCTTCTAGGTTGGAAGGGACCTTAAAGATCATCTTGTCCAACCGTCAACCTAACTGACAAAAATAGACACCCACACAACAAACAAGAGGGAAATTTATCTTTTCAGCATTTATTTCACTGCGAATTCTTGAGATTGCTGCACTGGTGAGAAGGGCTCCCGGGTAACGTTCCGCAGCAGAGGTTTTCTGAGAAGGGTGTGAGATGTGGCATGAGTCACACCAGAGCACGGGGCAACACGATACTCCCCGTGCCCTCAGCCGAGGAGATCGCAAAGCCCGTTTCTGTTCGAATATCCCGGAATAGCACGATGAACCATACATTAGATGACACGCAGTGACTATTTACAGCAGCGCAAAGAATAGCCCGGGACAGAGAGCAGCTAGGACTTATTTTAAGCCCATCTTCGTTTGGGTGTTTGGCCGGTGCTAACGAAGTGCAAGACGTGCTGCTGTAAACAGAGTGCGGAGACGCGGGCCGTGCACCGAGACAGGCCGTAGCGGCAGGTTGGCAGCGTGTGAGCACTTCCACTGAAATCACACATCTGTTTTGCACACAGATAATACAAAAAAGGGGGATGCTTAATCTGCCGGGCCAGGATTTCTCTGTGAAACTCCCCGGAGGAGTAAATCTGAAGAAAGTCTAGAGGCTGCAGGCTGAGATCAGGACTAAGGCATAGAACAGGGAAACCACCAAATGAAAACACAATGGGGGCACTGAAGACAAAATTACCCATAGCATCCAGACTAACAGAGATACATCAGGGTTTGCCCCGTTTTTTATAGTCCTGTTTGTTAAGGATCAGATATTTGCCATGCCTGTCACTACAGAAGACCCATTTGCAGTTCAGAGCAGTGAAATATTATCGAGTCAATCAACAGCAAAGTATTCCTTCTTTAAAAAATAGGCAGGAAGTTTAGGCTATCTTATTTTTAACACATTCTGATGTTTTCTCATATATAGGAGGAGTTGATCCAATATATAACTGAATTCTGAAAGCCTTGAGCATATGATGTGATTATGGAACTCTAATGCTTTGACTGTTTTGTTTACGTTATCTTCAAAAGTCTGAGAATTTCTTCCTACTCTTTGTTTCTCTTTTTTTTCCCCTCTCACTTTCCACATCTCCTTCCTTCTCAGTGTGTGTTTTACCCACCACACTGGCCCAGGCAGGCTTCATTTCCCACTTTGTTTTCCGTGCTCACATAAGCAATAAGGAAATTAAAACTTACCCTTTGAGTATCATTGTTTTTCGATCGCTCCTCTGAGGGTAATTGTCACTTTCCAATAGCAATTGTTTCAGGCTCTTACAAATTTCACAGACCACCGACACTGATTTATTCTGAATTCCCACCTGGCAAAGTCACTGCCACATGGAAGGCTGGAAATGTTGGGCAAGGTCTGAGCTCAGTGGGCATATCTATATTAGAAATTGGATTCAGATAAGACAAAAATGCTTCTGTTACTGCAATTCCTTCCCAAATGCAAAGCTTCTCAAGTGTGTGTGGCTGGTGGAACGCACACCCTTGGGGAAGGGCGTACTGACACCCCAAGAAGGGGACAGTCACCAAATGAAATATAAATGCCTTGGTCCTGGGTGAGGTACACAGTTTTCTGTAGGATTCTCAGTGCCCTCAGCCATGCCTATGTTTTTATAACATAGTGAAAGTCAAAGAGCTGTGGGAAAAGGATCAGCCAGGCTGGATTCAAACAGGATTTATCAGAAGTTATAGGAGGGGGAAAAAATATCAAAAAAGCGTATATCGAATTAAAAAAACCCAAACATCTATAGCATCAGCTCCTTATCATGCCTTCAAAAGTCAAGTGCTGTCAAACTCGTAGGTAAAATCCAGTGAGGTGAGTTCCCCCAGCGGGTACTTCGCTGTTTTCATTTTGCAGCCCCTCTCTCTACTGCAAATCAGTCTTCACCAGGGAAGAAATTATAAAGCCTTATGAAAGAGGACAAATGGCAAGAGTTCAGGACAATGTGTCTTCCAGCTGTCATCGAATCCTAATTATTTCTTGGAAATATTTCTCACAGTCTTTTCATGTTTTGTACCTTAAAAGTCTCACATTTTACAAGGAAAAAAAACCCATTCAGAAAATAGAGGGGAGTGGGGAGAATCATGGAATCTGTTCCACTTCAGATGACTACATCACAACACCTCATGTTTTGACTTGCTTTCTTTATTTTTTGAGTTGATTTGTTTATTTTTCCCCCAGCTGGGGAGTTGCCCATATGGATCAGACTAGTTTGGGTTGGGGAGAGTCCCCTCTCTCCCACTGCTCTCCCGTCCCCAGGGCAGCATCCCTGCCCATGTCCCAGGCCCATGTCCCAGCCTGGGGCCAGCAGCCCCACGCGGCCGGTGGCACCTCTGGGCACAGATCCCCTCTGATGCCAGCTCCTGGTTCCTGGCCCCTCCACCAGCAGTGTCTATCCTTTTAAAAATGAAAGGGAAATAAAACAAAAAAGAGAGGAGAACACGGGTGATGTTCCTTCTCGCTGTTCTTTGTGCCGCAGGTACGCCTGGAATGATGTTCTCGGTGCGGAGCAGGGGGCTGGATCCATTCCTTGGCGCCTGGCTCTACGCTCAAGGACGTCCGAGGTGAAAGGCTTCATTATTATTCTGTCATTAGCACCGTGATGCAATTCCCAGCCCACCGGCAGCTGCCAGAGCGGCGTCACTCCGGGCGCTGCCAGGAATGGCAAACGCGCGGCGCTGAGGCTGCTCCGCTGCCGGCGGGGCAGGGCTCCTTCCTGCTTCAAATATTGAATTTCTCTGCCATGTGTTTTCTGGATCATTGAAAGAAGGAGCAGAAGGATGTAAATACAGGGCGGGGAATGTGGAAATAGATGGTTTGTAACACATTACATTGCCCTTTTATCTCAAAATTAAAAGCATTCCCAAACATTGCTTCACAACATCTGGGTTGGAAAGGACCTTTAAGATCATCGAGTCCAACCATTAACCCAACACTGATAAACCCACCACTGACCCGTGTCCCTCAGCACCACGTCTGCCCAGCTTTGAAATCCCTCCAGGGATGGGGACTCCACCACATAGAATCATAGAATGGTTAGAACTGGAAGGGACCTGAAAGATCATGGAGTATCTTCCACAGAAAATCACAGAAACAGAGGATGGTTTGAGTTGGAAGGGACCTAAAAATCCCATCCAGTGCCCCCCCCTGCCCTGGGCAGGGACACCTCCCACCACACCAGGGGTCTCCAAGCCCCCTCCAACCTGCCCTTGAACCCCTCCAGGGATGGGGCTTCTCTGGCCAACCTGGGCCAGGCTCTCACCACCCTCACACCAAACAAGTTCTTCCCCACAGCTCAGCTCCATCCCCCCTCTTGCAGGGTCAAACCCTTCCCCCTCCTCCTAGGGCTCCCCTCCCTCATCCAGAGTCCCTCCCCATCTCTCCTGTAGGCCCTTCACTGCCCTGGGCAGCCTCTTCCAAGGCTTGACAACCCTTTTGGTGAAGAAATTTCTCCCAATATCCATCTTAAACCTCCCCTGGTGCAACTTGAGGCCGTTTCCTCTGGTCTCATCACCTGTGACTTGGGAGAAGAGATTGACCTCACCACCTCCCTTACCCTTCTCCAGCACACTTCCCAACTCCTGCTGGCCATGCTCTTCCCAACACGAGCCCGGGATGGCTTCCCCTTGGGCTTCCCATCACCCAACACCTCCAAGTCCTTCTCCTCGGGGGTGCTCTCTTTTCATTCCATCCATTTTCCACCCACCCTTGACCTGTATTGGGGACTGCCCCCACCCATGGCCAGCACCGTGCACTTGGCCTTATCCTAAGAGCGCATAGAACTACTCAGGAGGCGCTTAGGGCGAAAGAAAAAGGGCTTTTTGGGAAAGAAAAAGATAATTCCGCGGGTGAGGGGGGGGCCTCCAGGCAGAGCCACCGCGGAGCATCCCTCCTTTGCCCCGCCCACCCGCGCAGTGGGCGTGGTCAGAGAGAGCTCCGCCCCCACGTGTGCGCTCCCGCGCCTGCGCGGTCTCGCCGCCATCCCGTCCTCTCGCGAGATTTCCCTCCCTCTCTCCCCCCTCAGCGGCGGTGCCGACGGGATCTTTCGAGAAGTCGTCGTTCCCCCCCCGCCCCCCCGCCCTGAGGAGGCAGCGCCCGCCGCCGCCGCGCATTTAAACGGGCCCTGAGCCGCTGCTCTTCCTCCGGCTATAGCCCCCCCTCCCTTATTTTCCCCCTCGCCCCGCCTCAGCCATGTCGGTGGTGGGCATCGATTTGGGTTTCCAGAGCTGCTATGTGGCCGTGGCCCGCGCCGGCGGTATCGAGACCGTCGCTAATGAGTACAGCGATCGCAGCACGCCG